CTTTCATTTTTTTAATTTCAGGTATATCAAGAAATATTAATATAGACATTTTCTTGTTTATTTTTTGGGGGATGAGAGAACATTTTCTTTAAATGCAGATGTTTAAAACTAGGAATGTTGGTCTTATAGATGTATAGTTTTTACCTTTAAACTCAATTTTTCCAATTAGGCTATAAGGAAAGCTATTTGATTTTGACATCGGTGATTAAGAAAAATAAATTGTTAAGAATGAGAATTGATTTGAATACAATGGAGTTTCTATAGGAGGACTACTTTAAAGTCTTTGGGGGTTTGGGTTTTTTTTTTTGTTTGGTTGGTTTTTTTGGTCTTTTTGAGACAGGGTCTTCCTGTAGCTCCAGCTGGCCTGGAATTTGCTATGTAGACCAGGCTGGCCTTGAACTCTCAGAGATCCACCAGCCTCTGCCTCCCGAGTGCTGGGACTAAAGGCATAAACCACCATGCCTGGCTACTTTAAAATCTTTAATAAGATTAATAATAAGGAGCTGGAGAGATGGCTCAGCAGTTAAGAGCACTGGCTGCTCTTGCAGAGGACCCAGGTTCAAATCCCAGCACCCACATGGTAGCTAACAACTGTCCTTAACTCCAGTTCCAGGGGAATCCGATGCCTTTCCCTGACCTCTGCAGTCATTGCACGACATGGGTGCACTCACATGCATGCATACACATAAAATAAAAATATTTTTTAAAAAATGATTAATAATAAGAGAAAAGTAAATCAAAGATGCCAAGATAAAAATAAAAGTCTCTTCTTAGAAAGACTGTAAATGTGTTTTAAATGAATATTTACCAGTATTATAGCTGTGGTCTTTAAAAATAAGATATTCGTGCCAGGCATGGTGGCATATGCCTTTAATCTCAGTATTTGGGAGACAGAGGCAGGGGGCATGAGACCAGCATGATCTACATAGTGAGTTCCACGCTAGCCAGGGCTGCATAGTGATAACCTGCCTCAAAAAAATAAAATGAGGAATCCAGAACTCTAAAATCACCAAATCACAAGAAAACTAATGCTTTTTGAGTGTTTATAATATACGTTTGGCCAGGTAGCATACAGTGGCTTTTTAAATGTTTTTCTTAGAATTTAAGTTTCCTTGTATGGAATGGATTTTAATGTTATGACTTCAGAAGTTCAAGAATAAATTGTTATCCTAACATTAAAAAAAATTGAGTGATTAATTTTGAGTCATCTGTGCTGCTTTTAGAATCCCTAATATTTGGTTGGACGTGTAGCTCTGTTGGTAGAATTCTTGGCCCAGCATGCACAAAGCTCTGCATTTGATATCCAGCACCACATACAGTGAAATATGATGTATACCATCAGGAGATGGAGAGAGGAGGATGAGGAGTTCAGGGCCAACATGGGCTACTTAAGACCCTGTTCTAAAACAAGGGGCCTGCAGAGATGGCTCAGTTGCCCAGGAAACATCAGGACCTGAGTTTGAATCACAGAACCTACATAAAAGCCTAGCATGATGGTGTATGCTTATAATCCCAGTGCTGGGGAGGCAGAGACAGATGGGTCCTTACGCTTGCTAGCTTAATCAGCAATCCCTAGGCCAGTGAGAGACCTTGTCTTAAAAAGCTTTTGAGGAATGATAGCCAAGGTGGACCTTTGACCTTGTCAGTACACACATACGTACTTGTACCCATACATACACGCACTTAAACATACACACAAAAAGAAGTATAATTTCTCATTGCATGTCTTTTATACTAGTTGGCTCATGTTTTTATGGTTTTGTGTTTTGTTTTGTTTTTTGGTCCTAGGATGTTGCCTTTCTTGAGAAACTGATTAAAGATGATATAGAGCGAGGAAAACTGCCCTTGTTACTTGTTGCAAATGCTGGTAGGTATCATCAACCTAATATGTAATCCTCCTGCCTCAGCCACCCAAATCCTGGGATTAGAGGCTTGTGACACCGTGCCCCATCAGAGAGTGACAGTTCCAAGGAAACTAAGGAAAAGCTACTAGAACTAATTTGTGATCCTAACAAAGTTGCTAGATTTCTACTTAGCAGTGAACTACTGGAAATTAAGGGCCAGCAAGATGACTCAGTAGGTAAAGGTGCTTGCCACTAAATTGGATGACCTGCGTTTGATTTCATGGTAGAAAGAGAGAGCTGACTCCCACAAGTTGTCCTCTGACCTTCACGTGTGCTCTGAGGTATGTATGCCCACACATACACACAAAATAAATAAATATAATAACAAATAGAATTTAAGGTGTCATTTATAATAACATCAAAAATCATGAAACCAGCCAGTAAGATAACTCAGCAGGTACAGGTGCTTGCTGCCTGATGATGTAAGCTTGACAACCTCTATTCAGTCCCCTGAAGCCACATAAAGCTTGGAAGGAGAGAACCAACTCCACAAAATTATCCTCTGACCTCCATGTGAATACCATGGCACATGCATGCCCATTTACACATCTCCCACAATTATATACACTATTAAAAAAATTTTTAAATTTAAACTTAATGAACAAACTTAGCAAAAATGTGTATAATATCTCTATACTGAAACCTACAGAGAATACTGAAAGAAATTCAAGAAGATCCAAATAGACTGATAGGATTTACGTGTGTGTTTGGAAAACTATATTGTTAATTCCCTCTAAACTCAAGCTCTGTCATAATCTCAGTAGGCTACAGTTTCTGTTTTCTTTTTTCTTTTGTTTTTGGCCTGGATTCTCCTGCCTCAGTCTCCTGAATGCTGGAATTAGAAATATGTACCATCGTGCCTAGCCTACAATTGCATAGAAATTGATAACTTGATTGTTAAAAAAAGAAAAAATCCAACAATCAAGCTCTTGAGATTATATAATATTCTCATATGACATATGATATGGCTCATATGACATAATGGTCATTAGTTTTTTAACAAAGAGGTTAAGGTAGTTCAAGGAAGAGAATAGTCTTTTTCTAGTAGTGTTCTCAAGACAGTTGGTACCCATATGGAAAAAAATGACCTTAACCCTAGCCTTATTCTATATAAAAGTCAATTATAAACAGTTGCTAGATGGGCTAGGGAGATGACTCAGTGGTTAAGAGCACTTGCTGCTCTTGCAGGGAGCAGAGGTTTAGTTTCCAGCACCCATATGGTGGTACAACTGTCTGTAACTTCAGCTCCCGGGAATCCAATGCCTTCTTCTGACCTTCATAGCATACATACAGGCAGGCAAATATGCATACACATAATAAATAAATCTTTTTTTAAAGGGATGGGACTGATAGGTTTAAACATAAGATGTAAGATTATAAACTCTACAAAAATATACACAGGAGGGCTGAACAAATGGCTCAGTGGTTAGGAGCCCTGGCTGCTCTTGCAGAGGACCCGGGTTTGAGTCCCAGCACCCACATAGCGACTAACAGCTGTCTGTAACTCCAGTTCCAGGGGATCCGATGCCCTCTTCTGACCTCCTCAGGAACTGCATGACACACAGGTGCACTTACACGCATGCAAGCAATACACTCACACACATAAAATAAAAATAATAAAATATAAGAAAAATACGTAGGAAAGATCTTTGTAGCTTTGAATGAGGCATTGGTTTCTTTTCTTGCTTTCTTGATTTCTTGCTTTCTTTCCTTTTTGATACAGGGTCTCCCTGTAGCCCAGTTTCCTACCCAAATACATATATGTATTTATAGTTATATATGTATATGTATAGTTATATAGATAATAAATCCATCGTGAAGGCTGGGGATATAGTTCAGTGATAGATTGCTTGCCCAGAATGTTTAAGACCCTGGGTTCCAGTCCCACTCTGGAAAACAATGTTCCAAATGCTGATAAGGATACAGAGCACCTAGAATCCCCATACATTGCTGGTAGGGATGAAAAATGTTATAGATGTTCTATCATAAAAGTGTGGCTTCATTGATTTGTATCCTAGAAAAACCCAAGCCTAAGTGACAGAAGCAGATGAGGATTGGTGAGAATTTAGGAGTTAGGGAGAGGAGTGGCTGGAGTGAGGATAAGGGCGCTTTTAAGGGGATAGAAACCATTGATATCTTTTGATGTGGGTTACACCCTGTATTTGTTTGTCAAAACTAATTGAGCTATACACTTATATATGTGGGTTTATTGCCTATGAATTATACTTCAATATAAAGCTGTTTGTTTTAAAAAAAATAAAATACTTAAATATCCATCTTATTGCCAGCAGGAAAACCACCACTTCCTGCCTGACTTACCTTGCTGTACGTTAAAGAGAAACACAAATCTATTGATCAGTCACTTGATAGACTGGAGAGACTACATTTGGCATGTGACTGACTGACCTTCCATTGTGACTACATTTCTTTATTATTTATTTCTTTTAGTTTTTATTTTTAACCTTCAAAAAAATTTAATTTTTATTTCTATGAATGTTTGTATGTATTTTTATTTCTATGAGTGTATGTATGTAAGTGTACCCACATTGTGCCTTGCTCATGGAAGCCAGAAGAGGGAATCAAATCCCCTGGAACTAGAGTTACAGATGGTTGTTAGCCACCATGTAGGTGCTGGGATTTGAACTGGTTCTTCTGTAGAGCAGCCTGTGCTCTTAACCACTGAGCCATCTCACCAACCCCTTATTTTTATTTTATGTTTATGAATATTTTGCCTACATGTGTGTAAGTGCACCCATGTGTGCACTGCCCAAGGATGCCAGAAGAGGACCTCATATCCTCTGGAACTGGAGTTCTGGACAGCTGTTAACCTTCATGTGGGTGCTGGGAACTGAACCCAAATCCTCTGGAAGAGCAGCCAGTCCTCTTAACTAGCTCCAGTTAAGATCAATTTAAAGGGAGCTGGAGAGATGGCTCAGCAGTGAAGAGCACCTGCTGACAGAGGACCCAGGTCCCAACATCCACATGAGTGGCTCACAAGTAAGTGCCTATAACTCCAGCTCCAGGGATTCAGTGCCCTCTTTTGTTCTCTGCAGCCAGTGCACTCAGGCACAAACCCACACTCAGACATACACATATACACATAATTAAAAATAAAGTATATTTAATTTTTTAAAATATTTTTATGTATATGAGTGTATTGCTTTCATGTCTGTAAGTGTACCCATGTCATGCAATGCCCAAGGAGTCCAGAAAAGAGCGTTGGATCCCTGGAATTGTTGTTATAGACAGTTGCTAGCTTCCATGTGGGCACTGGAAATCAAAGCCAGGTCTTCTGTAAGAGCAGTTAGTGCTCTTGACTGCTGAGCCATCTCTCCAGTCCCCTTAAAAAAAAATTTTTTAATTATATGTGTATAAGTGTGCTATGTGCATGCAATGCCTGTGAAGGCCAGAAGAGGTTGTCTCATTCCCTGGAACTGGAGTTACAGACTGTTGTTGGCCACCATGTGAATGCTGGGACTCAAACCCATGTCCTCTACAAGAGTAGCCAGTGCTCTTAACCACTGAGCCATCTCTTCACTTCTCCAAAATATTTTTTAAGATTTTTTTTTAAAATTTGAGATAGACTTATTTATGAGAAGGAAAAAGATTTCCTTGCAGAAGAACTCTGTGTGTGTGTGTGTGTGTGTGTGTGTGTGTGTGTGTGTGTGTGAAGTCAACCTCCAGGGTCATTTCTCAGAACCTTTGTTTTAGACAGGGTCTCTCACTGCCTGGAGCTTGCCAAGTAGTAATAGGCTGGCTGGCCAGCAAGGTCCAGGGATCTGCCTGTCTCTGCCTCCCACTGGGATTACAAATATATGCCACTCTAGGTGGCTTCTTTATGTGAGTTCTGGAGATTGAACTGAAGTCAAGTTCTTATGCTTATGTAGGAAGCACTTTATCAACAGCCATCTTGCTAATACCTCCACTTTTTATTGGGACAAGGTCCTGTGTATCTCAGGCTAGCCTTGAAGTCATAGCTGAGGGTGACCTTGAACTTTTAGTCTTACTGTTGAGATTACAAGTATGCACCACCATGCATAGTTTATATGGTGCTGGTCCCTAACCTAGAGCTTTCTGAATGCTAGGCAAGCACTCTACCAACTAAGCTACATGCCCAGCCTAAATAACCATTGTGGTTTTTTGTTTGTTTGCTATTGAGTGTGTTGAGGCTGAGGGTGAGGATATAGAATCTTTTACTTAGTTGGGACTCTGCTAAACGTAAATTTAGGGCAATTGGGAGAATGCATGACTCCGTGTTTTACTTAAGCTTTGTCTGAAAAGGTAGTGCAGTCAAATTGACATGGGAATGGCTCCAAGAATTCAATATATTTAAAAAGGCTTCAGAATGCCTGTTTTACGTTAATAAAGAACCTGTGTGGCAGAAACCCAAATTCATCTATGTATTCTTTATAAAAGAGACACCTGAATCAAAATAACGCAGGTTGTGACAACAAAAAGGATGAGAAGGATATCATAAGCAAATGCTGACAAAAACAAAAGTATTGTAATGAGTGGTAAAATAATTTCATGTTGACAAGACATAATATGAGTTAACAATTACAAATACTTTTGGAAATAACTTTGAAATGTATAAAGGGAAATGCAGGCATAAATTGACAAGCCCACAGTCTTGGTGGAGGATCTGATGACTCCCATAACTCAACAGATATCGTGAGTAGAAAGTTAAGTACACAGAAGATTTCAGTAACACAATTAGATACATGTAATGGGGTGCACATTCTTCACAGCTTACTCAAATTAGCTTACAAGTGTTGATTTTAAGTCAACCCACAAAGAAAATTTCAAAATAGGGATATGATGATCCTTCCTTCCTGGGATCACTGTGCATGAAAGCTCATGCTGTAAAGATTCAGAAACTACTTGTTTTTTTGATGTCTTTGCTTATATGTTTTATTGTAGGAACTGCAGCAGTTGGACACACAGATAAAATCGGACGTTTGAAAGAACTCTGTGAGCAGTATGGCATATGGCTTCACGTGGAGGGGTAAGGTAGCTAGTGAGATTGGTTGGTTGTGTGTTAGTCCTGCATTCGTCTTCATGGAGATTGGACACACAGGCCAGCTCCTACAGTGACATCTATCACTAAGGCCTCTTTGGATTGTAGATACAAAATAACCCCAATTGGCTAAAGCAAAAGGAAATTTTGTTGGTTCACTCACCTATAAAAACCGGTGTTGGGACTAGCTCGAGGGCACAGTGTCAGCCAGAACTCAGTGTCTTCCTCTCCACTCCCTCCCTTAATCACAATCATTTGTCTTAATTTGCCATGTATTGGCTCTAATGGAGAGTCTTTACCTATTAAGATTTTTGGCTTAGCGGTTAAGAACACTGGTTGTTCTTGCAGCAGACCCAGGTTCAAATCCCAGCACCCACATGGCAGCTAACAACTATCCGTAACTCCAGTTCTACAGGATCTGACAGCCTCTTCTGTCCTCCGCAGGCGTTGCACGACACAGGTGCACTTACATACATGCAGGCAATACACTCATACACATAAAATAAAAATATTTTTTAAAAAGTAGCTGCATCAATCCCAGCCCTTTTTCTAGCTGCACGTTCCATGAGTTCCATAAGCCCCAAATCCCAACAATAATCTCATGTTAAACCAATCAATCACCATGGAAATGGAATCCTCTGATAGCTGAGGTCGTTTGCATGCCTCTGGAGCAGGTAGGTGACTACCCTGAGCTCACAGTCTGATAAAGGTGGTAGGGGTGGTTTCCCTGAAGGCCCCCGAAGTGTCTCTAGAGAAAGGAAGAACAGATGCAGGTCAGCCAGATGGCAATGTTACTACAATAGCCAAGCTAGGGTCCTTTTGTCTTACCTCTGCAAAGAATGGTGACTGGAGAAGAGGAGCCGTGAAAGATACAGAATTGCATTGTCCTAAAAAACAGGGACATTCCCTAAAGCACATTTTTATTCAAGTGCATCTTTAAGATTTTCTTAGAATTTCTGTAACCCACATCTTCTTTTACTTTAATAAATGCTAATGACATAGGTGAAGGTATTCACCTGTTACCTACTAACAGCAGATCTGGTTTTTTTGTTTGTTTGTTTTTTTAAAGTGTCTCCTTAGGGAATAAGTAACATTAATTAGTTCTTAGATTGGTGTTTTTTCTTCCAGTGTGAATCTGGCAACATTGGCTCTAGGTTATGTCTCCTCATCTGTGCTGGTATGTGTTGATTTACTATATACTGTGTTAAGAAGGAGCTTAAAGTCTTTCAGTTTGTGCTGGCTTTTGAGGGTTTTCATGACTAGAGGAGGGACTGTGCTTGGTTTCTTCTGATAACCTAATGAAAAATGGCTCTTTTCGGTAGGCTGCAACCAAATGTGACAGCATGACAATGACTCCTGGCCCATGGCTGGGTTTGCCAGCCGTGCCTGCAGTGACACTCTACAAACACGATGATCCTGCCTTGGTGAGCTATCACTAGGGAATGAATAGTATTCATAATTGGCTTTAGGGATAAAATACAGAAAAATTAAGGAAAAGGTAAAATTGTCCTTACTACTTTTGTTACCTTTTTAATTTTTTTTTTGGTCAAATGTACAAAATAGTGGGTTTCTTTATGACATTTTCATACACACATCATTATACTTTGTTTATACCCTTCCACACTATTAAAAAAATTTAAGCAGGCATAGTGTCACAACTGTAACCCCAGCTCTGAGAAGGCTAAGGCAGTAGTGGGAATATTTTTTTTATTGAATTTTTGTATATTTCATACAGAAAATCTTTATACCCCATCCCCTTTGGAACCCCCCCCCCCAGAGTTCATACCTTCTGTCATTTATGTTAAGGCCTATCATGTCAACCTAGTGTCCCCAGATGTCCCTCAGTGCAAGTTCATCCACTGGGATCCTAGTCAGTCTAACTAGAGTCCCTCCCTTAAGAAGATGAGCTCATTCTCACCCAGCAGTAATCAGCTGCCAATAATTCTCTGACTAAGATTGGGGCCTGCTGTTCATTGCCACAGTCCTGCTGGGTTTTTGTCTGCTTAAGTTTGCATGGGTCTTGTGTATGCTGATACCTTCACTGTAGGTTTGTATGAGAAGAGTCCTAGGAACCTGTAGGACTATTTCAATATGGTCATGCACCTCCTCCCTGGCTCTTATAATCTTTCCTCCCCATCTTCCACAATGATCCCTGAGCCCTGGGCGAGTGGACCCACATTCTGCAGACTCTTATTCTCTGCATTTTGGCCATTTGTGACCTTTTGTGTTCCTGTCCTTCTGTTGCATGAGGGAGCTTCATTGATGAGAATTGAAAGATGCATTAGTGTTTTCTTTATCCCTTGTTCCATATTCTGTGAGCTTTAGGTATAGAGGTTGCATCCTAGATGTGCCACTTACGCTTGGGCAATTCACAGACAATCTGTGTGTGACCAGTTGTGGAACTCTGTAATGTCTCTGTCTCTTGAGAAAGAATCTTTGATGGGTAGTGGGTGACTGGGATACTTGTTTATAGATTTAAGGATCCATATTATATTTGTCTAGGGATGTGGCATCCTTGGAGTGTTCTCTAAGATCTATGACATCTCCAGCTGTGTGTATTTGGTTAGGTTTACAGTACCACACGTGAGTTTCCTCCCATTGAGGGGTTTTAAGTCCAACTAGGTACCTGTTGATTACCCCCAAGAAGAAAGTGCCGCTGCTGCACCAATGACCTTTGCTGTGCTGGTCATTGTGATTTTTAGGCCTTGAAGCTGGGGTTGGAGCATCAATTGATTTTCTCCCTTAGCAGCTTACATGGTGCTTTCCAAAGTTATGAGAGCTAGCCTTCAGGGGAGGTGGCTTCCAGGTCAGTTCCAGCTCCGTTGCTGCAAATCCTGTGTCCAAAGTATGCCGTCTTCAGCAGTAGGGTTTTACCATCAAGTCCTGGGAGGCAGTCAAGGACTGTAGCAATAGTCTGTAATTTTGGGGAGTCTCTTAGATTACCCTAGCCAACAACTCAAAAGAAGGTTTCTTCTGTCTGGCACTGAGTAGTAGAATCGTAAGTTCTAGGAAAGCCTAAGCTACACACTGAGACCCTGTCTCAAAAAAAAAAAAAAAAAAAAAAAAAAAACTGCTGAGAATATAGCTCAGTTGGGAGAGTGCTTGCCTAGCATATGTAAAGCCCTGGTTTCCATCCCAGCACCACATAAAATGGACATGGTAGCACACACACCTGTCTTCTCAGCTTTTGGGAGGTGGAAGAAGGAGGATCAAGGTTATCCTTGGCTACATATCAAGTTCAGTGCCAACCTGAGATACACGAGACCCTGTGTCAGAAAAAGTTAGGGTTTTACCATTATTGTATGTGTGGGTGGGCACATGTACCACAATGTATGTGTGGAGATCAGAGGACAACTTTGTGGAACTGGTACTCTCCATCCACATTTATGTGGGTTCCAGTGATCAAACTTAGGTGGTGTTTTAGTTTGTCTCTCCATTGCTGTGACAAAACACTCTGACCAATACCAACCTGGGGAGGAAAGGGTTCATTCAGCTTACATCTCCCAGGTCACAGTTCATCAGGGAGCCCAAGCTAGGAATTCAGGGCAGGAACCTAGAAGCAGGAGCTGGAACACAGGCCATGAAGGGATGCTGCTTACTGGCTTGCACCTCTGGCTCCTGCTCAGCCTGCTTTCTTATGCAACACAGGCCCATCTGCCCAGGGATGGCACCACCCACAGTGGGCTGGGCCCTCCCACATCACTCAACAATCAAGAAGGTACCCCATGGACATGGCCACAGGCTAGTCCAATGAAGGCAATTCCCCAACTGAGGCTCCCTCAACCCAGGTGTGTCAAGTTGACACTAACGCTATCCAGCATAGGTGGTCAGGCTTATGCAACAGGAACTGTCTTCTTGATCTGTGAATCCATACTTTTCTTTTTTTTTTTTTTTGAGACAAAGTCTCACTGTGCAACCCTGGAACTCACTGTATAGACCAACCTGCCTCTGATTAAGGGTGTGACACCACACCTGGTGCAAATTCATACTTAATGTTTTTCTAGTTATTCACCCCATACTTCCCTATGTTTACATAGGATTTTTCACAGAGTCTTCTAACGATAATCTGTTGCTTAATCATTGCATTTATTTAATCATAGTCATTTGTGAACTTTGAGGATGCTTTCAACTTTTTATTAATGAGCTAGGATGATGAATATCTTTCTACATTCCAAATTATTTCCTTAGGCCAGGTTCTTAAAAGTGAAATTACTGTTTAAGACTCCTGATGTACATTGTCCAATATAGGTTGTATTTTGTTTTAAATCCTAAATTGTGATTGTTTTGATAGTAGATGTGTTAGCAAGAAGTGCATGCAAAGTAAATGTTAAATGATTACTGTTTAAACAGTTGATATCTTGCTCAGTTGATAATGGCCAGGATTCTAAGGATTCTCAAAGCAACCTTACAAGGGGCTGCCTCCTAAATGGCTAAGAGCTCTGGCTGTAGAATGTGGCCCATCTGGCTTTTCACCTGGAGTAGCTTTACCTCTCCTCACCTGTGAATCCTTGAACACCACCAGATACCTGTGCTACGCTCATGTAGAATACTTGTAGGAAGGTCAAATGGATAATGCCAGCCAAGGATCTATATAAATAACATTAAATTATTCTAAGTGTGTAGTGAATGACAACTGGTTAGTTCTGAGATTCCTATGACTTTAATTAATGTCCTGTATTGTCTTTTTTAGACATTAGTTGCTGGTCTTACATCAAATAAGCCTGCAGACAAACTCCGTGCCCTGCCCCTGTGGTTATCGCTACAATACTTGGGACTTGATGGGATTGTGGAAAGGATAAAGCATGCCTGTCAACTGGTAAGTAGAAACCTGGACATGAAATGAGTGTCATAAAGACTCCTTCACAAAAGCAGAGGCAGAAAAATCTGAGTGCTGTAATCCGAGCACTCAGAAGGCTGAGGCAATAGAATCTCAAGTTCAGGGCCAGTCTGAGCTACATAGTGAGACCCTATCTCAAAAAACAAAACAGAACAAAAAAAAAAAAAACTCAGAAAACTGCGGAGGATGTAGCTCAGTTGGTAGAGCGCTTGTCTGGCATGCATGAAGCCCTGGTTTCCATCCCAGCACCACATAATGGGAGTGGTAGCCTCTGTCCAAGTACCTTGTCACCTTGATACAACATCTCATAAGCAAACAAACTGAGTGCTTCTTGCATATATGTTTCTTAGACTTTCTAGGAGAGACTGTTGGCACTGACCCAACATTATCTCCAGGAGAAACAGGAAAAGGAATACCATTGTCATCCTGGGATGAGGGAAAAAAAGCCACAAGATGACTTCCAGGGAGGGAGAGAGGTGCATAAATGACACTCTTGACTGACTGAGAGAGTAAATACAGAAGTCGAAAATTCAGTGTGAGTGGCATGGGCATTTTTATACAGAGACTTAGGTTTCCTAGTGGCAAGGTTCTAGGGACAATTTTTTATGCATTCAGGGCATTCTAATTGTGGAAAGCATAAAATTTTATTGCAGTTAATGTCTTAATCTGTTTGGCCTTACTCTGGGTACTTTGTAAATAGCAAAAAATATATTACTTATATTTGTAGATGCTCAAGTGCGAGGTCAGGATGTAAGTAGATTCAGTGGCTGGTGAAGGCCTTTTCCTCCTGGATGGTATCTTGGGGAACAGACCCTCTAGCCCCTTTTTAAGCATGCTCACCAAATCCATTTATGAAGTCTCCACCCCCATACCATTAATCACCTCCAAAAGACTGAACCTTTTAATATATTATATTGGGTATTAGGCTTCGACATTTGAGACTTTATCTGGTTTTTGCTGTTGTTGTTGTTTCTGTTTTGTTTTGTTTAAGATACAGGGTCTCACTATTTAGCCCCTCTGGTCTGGAACTAACTTTATAGACCATTCCAGACTGGCCTCAATCTCACGGTGATCTGCCTGCCTTTCCCTCTCTAGAGACCTTAACCTTTTTTAAAAAAAAAAAAATTTTTAAACATTTTATTTAATGTGTACGCGTGTATTGCCTATATATAAGTGAGTGTACCCGTGTCGTGCAATGCCTCGGAGGTGAGACGAGGGCTTCAGATTCTCCTGGAACTGGAGTTAAGGACAGTTTGTAGCTGCTATGTGGGTTCTGGGAATCAAACCAAGGTCTTCTGCAAGAGCAGCCAGTGCTTTTAACCACTGAGTCATCGCTCCAGCTCCCCCCCGACCCCCCTTTTGTTATTTTTTTTGAGACAGGTTCTCCCTGTAGCCCCAGCTTACCTGGAACTCGATGTCTCATTGTGTAGACCAGGCTGGCCTTGATCTCATAGAGATCCTGCTAGGACCACACAGTGCTGAGACCTTACCTTTTTTGCGAGGTGTGTGGCTTTTCAGGACAGGGTCTCCCTGTAGGTCCAGCTGGTCTGGAATTCACAGAGATCCACCTGCTTCTGCCTCCCAAGCGCTGGATTAAAGGCGTGTACCTGGTTTCTTTTTTTTTTTTTTTTTTTTTTTTTTTTTGGGACTGGACCTCATATTTTGGGAAATACTGATCATATATGTACATATATATGTGTGTATATATGTATAAAGGGGTGTTCTCGTTTTTTTTTTTTTTTTTTTTTTTTCCTTTTTTTGGAGACCTTTTAAAAAGCAAAAAGTAAGGCCAGGTGTGATGGTGGTTTATGCCTATATTCTCAGTGCATAGGAAGCACTGACAGAGGCAGGAAGATCAAGAGTTCAAGGCCAGCCTCAACTACATAGGACCCTGTCCTTTAAGAAAAAAAAATTGGTTTGGGTGTGATAATACATACCTGTAATCCTAGCATTCAAGAAATGGAGGCAGGAGGGTCAGGAAGTTGCCAGCCTCCCTACATAGTGAGTTTGTGGACAGCCTGGGTTACATGAGAAGCTATCTCAAAAAATAAAAATACAAAGTCTTATTTATGCAGAGTGAGAATTGACCAATATGTAAATTGAGAAGTTTATCACCTCTTGACAACTTCATTTTCTCTCCTGTGATATAGGGTAATAATTTATTAAGGATTTTTTAGAGGACTCACTGGGTTAATGATGTTAAGCTCTTAAATAGTGCCTGGTCATGTAAGTTATTGCCTATAGTTTTAAATCTTTGTTTTAAATATTCTTAGGCTGGCAATATAGGTCAGTAGTACAGCACATGCTTAGTAGGTGCAAGGTCCTGGGTTCAATCTCGGCTCTCTCTCTCTCTCCCTCCTCTCTTTCTCTTTCTTTCTCTCTCTCTCTCTCTCTCTCTCTCTCTCTCTCTGAATTGGCATTTAAGTATCATTTTTACATTTAAGAAAAATTAGCATTTTCTTTTTTTTAATATTTATTTTATGTGTATGAGTGTATTGCCTGCATGTATGTGAGTGCACCTGTGTCATGCAGTACTGCGGAGGTCAGAAAAGGGCTTTGGACTCCCCTGGAACTGGAGTTAAGGATGGTTCATAGCCACCATGTGGGTGCTGGGAATCGAACCCAGGTCCTCTGCAAGAGCAGTCAGTGCTCTCTTAACTGCTGAGCCATCTCTCCAGCCCCATTTTCATATTTTTAACATAGCTCTTTGGTTCATAGATCAGTTCCTTTTTTTTTTTTTGTCTTTTTGAAGCAGGGTCTCCCTGTAGCCCCAGCTGTCCTGGAACTCACTATGTAGACCAGGCTGGCCTTGAAGTCACAGAGATCCGCCTGCCTCTGCCTCCCAAGTGCTGGGACTACAGGCATGCACCACCACGCCTGGCTGATCAGTTCCTTTTTAAAAAAAATATTTATTACTTTTATGTGTATGAGTATTGCTTGCATGTGTGTAAGTGCACCCATATTAGTGCCCATGGAGGTCAGAAGAGGGCATCAGATTGCCTGGAACTGGAGTTTTGGACGATTATTACTCGCCATATGGCTGGGAACTGAACCTGGGTCCTCTGCAAGAACAGCCAGTGCTCTTAACCACTCAGTTCCTTTTTACATTAAAATTACTTTTAAGGTTTCTGTTTATAAAAGCACAATATTTTTTAGGTGTTTTCATCATGCTCATATCTTGATTTAGTTCTTAGGAAAAAGAAAAAGAAGCCTTTATTACCATAGTAACTTAGTCAAACCTTAAAGAAGGTTTGAGCACTCAAGGGAGAGTTTCAGTTTCCCTTGACTTGAGTACAGGAAAATAATGATGACACTACAAGTCCCTAAGGTTAGCACAGTGCTGGTATCTGCCTGCAAGCCAAACCTGTAGCTAATCTCCAGTGCTCATGGGGATTTGAATGACAAACTACTGCTCTCTCACCATGTGAGGGCACATCTTAAAACTACGTAGGGCTTTAGCAGGTGTCTGTCTGGATGTTCATGCCTTACAGTCTATACTAGAAGGAAGCAGTCTCTTCCGTTTCTTCTCTCCTCCATGTGTGGCAGTTACTGAGTATCTACTCAGTGCCAAGCACTGTGAAGGGCTTTTACATTGTCTCATATGATGCCCACAATTCCACTAAAATGTAAGTTGCACTGATAAGAACACAATTAAAATTGGGTTCCACAAAGGACTTTGCAGTAATGCTCAAAGAAGGTCTGTTGAATTCATGTTCCTCTACTCTGAGTTAGGTACCATTATTATCCTCATGTCAGTGATGAGGGTACTGGATTGAGACTTTATATAGTGATGGCTACAATTACATCATTTACATGCAATTACATCATTTACATGGTATACACTGTGTTCTGGACACAATTTCTGTGAACATAATGTATATCAACTCATTTAATCTTCACAACAACCAGTAAAGTAAATGCTATCATCCCCATTTATAATTGAGAGAACTGGAGCATACTGTTTAAATAACTTGTCCAAGGTCAGGGCTAGTGATTGCAGATCAAGTAACTCATCCTGGTACTATAACTGATAAGCAGCAGAGCCATACTCCTAGTTGGCTCTTAGGCATGCTGTACTCTGACTTAGCTGTGGTCGCCCCCCCAGTATTCACACTGTGGTTTGCTCACATTTGAACTCAGTACTTTTTTCATAAATGGTTTGTTTCTAATAGGACATACCCATGTCATTAGAAACTTTTGTTGGATCACTATATGTGACTTAAATACATATTTTTTATTATTGCATGTATGTGTATGTACACACATAGTGCTACAGCACATGAGGTCAAAAGACAGATTTCAGTAGTTGTTCTCTCCTTCTACCTTGGGTTCTAGAGATTGAACTCAGGTTGTCAGGCTTGCATGCCAAGCACTACCTGCTGAGCCATCTTGCCAGCGCTACATCTAACTTTTAACTAAAAGACTGAAGAACATTTGCAAATGTTGAATTAGAAAATTGGGGGTCAAACTTAGTCATCACCAAGTTGTTGATGCCTTTGTCTGCCTGAGGTACTTATTTGCGTATTGCAAAGAGACTCGAGAAGACTGCTTATATGTCCATTTAGTGAGGTGGCTCACTTTTTGTCATTTGCAGAGTCAGCGGTTGCAAGAAAGTTTGAAGAAAGTGGACCACATCAAAATCTTGGTATAGTATATAATTCCCTGTACTTTTGAAATAAAATTCTTTAGCTTCAGCAATAGAATACATTTCACTGAAATTGTGTCAGTGCCAGTAAAGAGTCTTTGAGAGGGAACCATGCATATGTTTACACCTTGATTATATAATCATCCTGAAATTAAGTTTATACCAATGTTTAAATTCCTGTAGTGCTATTTAAATTTAGAGCACAAAGATCTTACATATTCTGGGCATGGTGGCGCACACCTTTATTCCCAGCATTCAGAGGCAGAGGCAGGCAAATCTCTGTGAGATCAAGGCCAGCCTGGTCTACACAGCAAGTGCCAGACCAGTTGAGGCTACAGGGAGACCCTGTCTCAAGAATCCCCCAAAAAATAAAATAAAATTTTAAAAATCTTACATAAATTCTGTTGACTTCATCTGCCTAAGGGCTTAAGAGCACCCATCCTCAGAAATGACTCATCATTCTGTAGCAAAATGCTTTGGTCTAGTTTTCTGAAGCCACCTGCTCAGAGGGGCATGAGGAAAACAAAAGCAAATAGCCGCTTTTGTCTTGTAGCTTTCTAAAATGAATCTCTTAGACATTGCTCCCTTAGCATAATGACTGACAAGGAGATGGGGACTTAGCATCACTAACAACCAGAAATAAGTATCTGTCCAGGTGGGAATGTTTTCACGTCAGCTTCATAGTATTTTAGAATTTCAGGAAATGTATAGGTCATATTTTATTTAAATGGGCTCACTGTTTCTTTGGCAGTTCTGCAGAGTAGAGTTACATTTAAAACAGGTCTTTGAGGTTTTTGGGATGCAGGTTAGTAGAGCTGTTTCTGTTACGGGGGGACCAGATACTTTGCATTGCTTTCTGGAGCCAGATGGCCACATTCAGCTGAGAGGAACCTTGGAAGAGGAGAGTAGGCCATTGGAGGAGTAAGGAGATGATTCTATCTAAGTCAGGAAATTTAGGATCTAGACTCAGTAGAGCCACAGGGTGGACCTGTACCATGTAGTCATTCTCTTTACTGTTAGAACAGCTCAGCTGTCAAATGAAAGTATACAGTTGGGCTTCTTTCTTTGCAAATGCAGGGACTTGCTGTCGGGAGTTGAGGCAGTATTGAGCCAGTATGCTCTCCTGTCCCTGCCTTGCTGAGCCCACTCAGGCTCTTCCTTATCCTCTTGCCTCACACTCCTCCAAGTAAGGGGATCTGATGGTGTAACCTGCCACCAGTTCTTTTGGAGCTTCTTTGTGTGGTATCCAGAGCCCAGCCACAAACCCTTCTCCATCCCTTCTTCCAATGCCCACTTTCTTCATTGGAGAATATGTGATTAGCAAACACAGCAAAGTATGGTAGCCTGTCAGTCATCTTCAAGTGTCACAACTATTGCTTGTAAACTGCTTACTAGTAATAGTTACCACACATAGTAACCACTGCCTTTCATGCATCATTTTGTTTAATCCTCACATCCATTTCCTTTGTGTCCTCTGCCCGGAAAGTCATTGCTCACAATTTCTTCTCATGACTGAATTGTGAGCTTTCAGATCTTAGTTCAAATATCACATCTTTCAAGAATTTTTTCCTAAGTACCCTAAACACACACACACACACACACATCTCTTACTTTATTCCCTGAGGTATTTCTCTTACTGAATTTATTTTATCTAAAATATCATATGTACATTGTGAATTTTTTTCCTAGAGAAGCTTTGTAAAAGCCTTGTGTAAATTCACCACCATGTGTCACATGGAATTTAAAATTCAGGGCCTCAACTATAAAAGCCAAGGTCCAAGAGCATTCATGTTCCCTGTCCAAGTAGCTCAGTTTACAGCTGCTGCTTCCTGTTTATGAATTCACTTTGATACAAGCCCAACAGTGGTTTGAACTTTTTTGGTTTTATTTAACACTTCAGAAATTCAGAATTGATAACTTCAATATTAGCTAAGTCTACCATGTTGGTAGAACCATAAGTTTATGTATATAACCCTGCCCAGTATTTCTTATGCACACTAACATTTCAGACCAAAGTTCAAAGGAAGAAGGAAAAGATGATTGTAATATGCATAGAGGTCTTAGACTCAAATCATTCTGCCTTACCTTAATTGAATGTGCGGGATAGGTAGATTATTTGCCACCTTTCTTGCTCCTACTTGTTTATTGGGTTTATCCCAGTCTACCTAAATGTTAAGCCCCAATTCCCTTAAAGTTACTAATTTTATTTGTGTGAAAGTTAGTCCTTGTCAGTGTAATGCAGTGAGGCTTATCATCCGTTAGAAAATCCATTAATGAAGTTACTTGTCTGATGCTTGTCTTGCATAAGTACTAACTCTAAATCTATTTAAGCAATACATTTGTACAGTCTAGGCTGCGTGCATGTGTGAGTCCTGTCCTGAAAGTTTATAAGGCAAAGACAAAGTACTTGCTCTTTTTATTCCATGAATATAAAAAGGTTCCTGATTTTCATGACAAAAAAAGGGTTTGCTGGGTCAAGAGAGAAGGGGACTGTTTTCACGGGTCACCTCAGGCCAGTTATAGCCCTTGAACTTTTTAATGTGTCTGTGTGCAAACCGTATCTCTGCCTATTTGTCAAAGGCACTGTTTCACGTTGTTGATGTTTAGCATTGGCTTTAACATGTAATAGCAGGCTTCTCTTTTTGCAGGTGGAAGATGAGCTCAGTTCTCCAGTAGTAGTGTTCAGATTTTTCCAGGAATTACCAGGCTCAGGTAAGTGATTTTTAAAAGATGGTTTTTGTGTCTGTATTTAAGGGCTTTGAATTTGATATCTTCTGAAATTAAATAAGTAGTTCAAAATGTTTTTATTGCTAAAATCTTTAGTTCAGGAAACTGTAACTGTTTACACAAGCATACTACTGCTAAATACCTTAGTATTATGAATAGTTGACTGTGACATGCTTGGGTGTGTTGGTGCACACCTTTAATCCCAGTACTCAGGAGGCAGAAGCAGGTGAATCTCTGTGAGATTAAGGCCAGACTGGTCCACTTTCAGGTGGGCTGGGACTAAGGAAACCCTGTGTAAACAACAACAACAAAAAGTTGACTGTGACTAAACCAGGGGTTCCCAGATACCATCACAGGCCCTGTACTAGACCAGTTAAAGTACATAGTCCTTGGCAGACTGGTTTGTAGCTTACAAGGTTTGCTTTTGTTTGCTCTCAAAATCCCTTGAAGGCAATTTATTTTAAAGGAAATCAATTTTATTTCTGTGAACATATTCAGGAATTATATAGTTAGTGAGGAAAAAGTATGAGACATTATTAAACTGTCTGTTGGATTTGGGGACTCTGCTTCTTTTATTTAGGAGGCTAGGCCCAAGAATTTTTATTTTTAAAGGATGTCCCAGGCTGGATGCACAAGGCTCCGTTTATTATGAGTACTACAAGAAAAAAAGTAGCCAACACGTTGCCGACCTTGCCCAAGGCACATTATTTTTCACCTACATGCCACTGGAACCCCCTCAACTGATCGCTAACATTTCCACATTGTACATGTCCATTCCAGACCATGCTCTGCATGGCAGTTAGGGAGCATTACAAATCCTATAGCTCATCGCCATGCCCATAGCCATCAGCACCTTCCCGTTCGAGCAGAGTCAAGTCCAGGCTCTACACCATGGCCCATAGGACTGGCATCTGCTGCCCCACCTTCACTTGCCTTCCTCTCTGAGCCTTCTTCCCTCTTGCTGATGGTCTCATTGTGCGTCAGTCACACCATCTTCTCCATGTTCCTAGAACACCCTGCTTTTCCTTGCATTGTGACCATGATGCTGATATTTTCTCTACTTCAAACACATTTCCTTCTCGTTTTTTCTTTTTCTTTTTTTTTGGACAGGCACTCACTCACTCTGTAGACCAGGATGGCCCTGAATTTGCAGCAGTCCTCCTGCCTTAGACTCCTTCCTCTCATTCTCCTTACTGCTGCCTCCTCCTTACTGTTTGGTCTCTACTAAATGCAAACTTTCCCCTGACTGAAGTGACTTGATCATACTGTCAGAACCCCTCACCTCCTTTCATGGTACTAGCATGATGCATAGTGATTTTCATTCAATTTATAGTCTATTTACATTTCCTTTGAGTTCCTTTCGAAATTCCTTGAAAGTAATTTTTATTTTATTTACTTTTATTTTCTGTGTATGCATGCATTGCCTGCATGCAAGTAAGTGCACCTATGTCATGCAATGCCCACAGAAGTCAGAAGAGGCTGTTGGATCCTCGGGGACTGGAGTTAATGGACAGTTGTTAGCTGCCATGTGGGTGCTGGGATTCGAACCTGGGTCTTCTGCAAGAATCTCCAGTGTTCTTAACTGCTGAGCCATCTCTCCAGCCCCAGAAAGCAATCTTTCTTTTTGTTTGAGAGAGCCATGGGCCCAGGCTGGCCTCAAACTCACAACAACCCTCCTGCATCAGCCTTACCAAAGACTGGGATTATAGGGATGTACCACGAGGTTGGGCTTTCTTTAAAAGGAAATTAAGAACGCTATTCATAAGTTAACTGTAGGCTATTAAACCTTCTATCAGACATTTAATTTCAGTCATACATGACTGTTCTATTAGAGTTCACATGGGAATGTAAGTGAAATGGGTTTGGACATGTTGTTTAATATAGTCTTGTTTCTAGGAATGAATCCCTTCTGTATTTGGTCTCAGATCCAGGGTTTAAAGCTCTCCCAGTACCCAGTACGGCACCTGCAGCAGTCAGCCGGGAGAGACACTCCTGTGACGCATTGAATCGCTGGGTACGGATGGCAGCTGTGTACTTTCCCACCTTTACATCCCAGAACAGTATTACCTGGCCTCACTCCTGATGCTACAGTGATCATGTGTGGGAAGTCAGACTCACAGGAAGGATCCTCATACAGAGAGACCCAGCTTGTTTTGTTCTGAATCAAAGTACCACCTGACACACGGTCACCTCTCAATCCACTCACTTTTCTTCTGTGACTATTTCCTTATTGCTGTGTAAGGCCTGGACTGCAGACCAGCAGCTTTGGGTAACGAGAGTGTCTGAGCAGCATCAAAAGGCATTCCAGCCATTCCCCTGAGTGCCTATGGCAGTCAAGCAGGGGTGGGTCAGCATTATGCTCTAGCAGTATTCGCAATAGTGTAAGGATATTCCCCACAGCAGTATCAATCCCTAGGGACTTTGGTGACTAGGCTATGGTATATCCATACAGTACAGTTCAAAGCAGCCATTCTAAACCTATAGCTGATTTTTTAAAAAGAAATGAGAAATGGTCAGCACAAATTAAATGGAAAAAGAAAATGTAAGTTACTAGGGCTGGGGAGATGGCCCAGTAGGTAAAGTGCTTGCTGTGCAATCATGAAGACCTGAGTTCAGATCTCTAGCATCCATATTTAAAAAACCAGGTATAGCAGGATGCCCGTGATCCAGCACTGAAGAGGCAGAGACAGGTAGGTGCTAGAGGCTCACTAGTCAGACAGTTTAGCCAAATTGGTGAGCTACAGTTTTCAGTGAGAGATCTATCTCAAAAAAATCCAGTAGATAATGATGGAGGAAGACACCCAGTGTTGGCCTGCACAGACACATACATGGATAAGTATACACACAAAAACGAAAAAAAGGTTACTAAACAGTGTCATGTTGTGTGGTAAACACATAGAAAAGACCCTGGGAAATATATAGAATTCTTTGAGTAATGTTGTGGTATCTTTTATATTTTTGGTTTAACTGCATTGCATGTTTTTTACAATGAGTTTGTATTTGGAATAATATATAATGTGCTGTTCTTTTTTTAAAAGAAGTTGGGGTGGGGCGGTGCTTGGGCACAATCCCCTAGATTCTATTCCCAGCACTGGAAAAAAAGGTTGAGTGTTAAATATTGAGAGACAACCTGAAGAATAAAGGAAACTAGCTTCAGAAGCCACTTTTGTCTGGGCTGAGCAGATGAGGGAAGGGGATGCAGACACTGGAGTATACTCACTCTGTCCTTTGCCCTGCAGCTGGGAGAACAGTTAAAACAGCTGGTGCCTGTGAGTGGCCTCACTGTCATGGATTTGGAGGCAGAGGGCACGTGTGTTCGGTTCAGCCCTTTGATGTCAGCATCAGGTAAGGTGTTTCCATGGATCTGCCCCTTTGGTTAGGGCAGAAGCAGCTCTATGTCCATTAAAGGCCAGGTGGTTGGGAGAACAGGTTACCCTCCTGATCTGCCGTCCTGTAGTTTGCAGCATCTCCTTTTGAAGGGCCTTTTCTTTTAGGCTAAATTTAGGTTTCGGTGTAACTTCTCAATGTAGAGTGAGACTTCTGGAGTCACATGAATTCCTGTGTTTTGATGTCCTGTGACTTTGGGTTTCTGTTCTAATGCATCCTGCCTCCAGCTGCACATCTGAATCACCTGTGGGGCTTTAAAATTTTCCATCAGCTGAGCCACCAACAGAGATTCTACCTTCTTAAGTCTAGCATGGAGCCTGGGCATACTTTTTTGTTTTTTTTTCCCCAATTGCATTGATTTTTCTATAGTATATAAAGTATGCAACAGGTATTGTACACATAGTGAGAGGTGCAGAGATGTTTAAGGCAAAGTCTGGGGTGCAAGGCAGAGTTTCTATGCCCTCTCCTGGCAGGCCACCCTCCTGTGCATTTAACCTTCCAAAAGTTCTGGGCATTTGTAGTTTTTAAAGTTCTGAGAATTCTGCTAGACTGGGGCCACTGTTTTAGACATTGCAGAAAGCAGTGCAGTTGAAAGTGTGTGAACTTTTAGAACCAAAGGTAGTGATATGTGTCCTCTCAGTCACTAAACCTGTAGGACTTTGTGCGGGAAAGGACTTTGAATGTTTTCTTCACGAAGCAATGGTAAAAATTTGAAGTGATATGTTTTCCCTGATTTGAACGTAACACCATTTATGCACGGATCAAAACAGCACATAGGGCTGAAGAGATGGCTTTTAAGATAACACATAGTACTCTATAAATATGTTGTTTTTACATGTCTATTTTTTTAAATTGTGTGTGCATATTAGCACTTATCTGGAGGTTAAAGGACAGCTTTCTGGTATCACTTTCCTCCTACCATATAGGTTCCAGGGATTCAACTCAGGTTGCCAGTCATGGCAGCAAATGCCTTTACCCTATGAGCCATCTTGCTGGCTTTTATTATATTTTAGAGACAGGGTCTTGGTATGTAATTCAAGTTGGCCTTAAACACAATGCTCCTGCCTCAGTCTCCTGAGTGCTGAGATTACAGGCATGAGCTACCATACCTTCCTTATATGTCAGCTTTTAAAAGCTTAGGAAGAAAAAAGAGTGATATTAAAAATTTTTTTGATTGTAGCCAGGCGTGGTGGCGCACACCTTTAATCCCAGCACTCGGAGGCAGAAGCAGGTGGGTCTCTGTGAGTTCAAGGCCAGCCTGGTCTACATAGTGAGTTCCAGGACAGCTGGGGCTACAGGGAGACCCTGTCTCAAAAAGACCGAAAAAAAAAAAAATTGATTGTGCTTTTTGTGATATGACTTGAAACTAGCTGACTCATTATATAGACCATGCTGGCCTTGAACTCACAGAGATCTGCCTGCCTCTGCCTCCCAAGTGCTGGGATTATAAGTGTGCACCACCATACCTGGCTTGACTTAAAACATTTTTTTCTTAAAATTTGGTGTTTTTTTTTCACTGAGATGTTTTCAAGATTTTTGCTAAGATATTTTCTCAAGCTTATCAAAATAAGAAAATGCAGGCATTTGTCCTGCAAAGAAGCCATTTTGGAGCTTGCTGATGGCAACCCCAGCCCTGGAGACTGCTGGAAAACCTCCAGAGAAACCTGAGCTAGCACATGCATGCAGATTGAAGGGAAGAGGGCATGGGAGAGTGCCAAGACACTTTCACCTTTGAGGCCTCAAGCTTCTAACACTGACCTTGCCATGACTCCCTGTACTTAATGCAGGGCTGTCACTGTCTCCCTGCCCCTTCCTGTGTCTCAGACACAAACTCACCAAAACACTTCGCTTCTCTCAGTGCTAACACATAGAATTTATGCTTGATTTTTGTTTTTAATAGATAGGATGTATATGACCTGATCAAGTCAGTCTTACTGTGAGGAGACTGATTTCTAATTGGAGAGATACATTGCTCATTAAATCTACAAAAGCTGTTTGCTCCTGGAGCAGCAGCTGTGTTTTTGTTTTTTTGTTTTTATTGTTTATCTGTTTTATTGTGGGAGAGGGACATATGCCAGAGGACAACTTGTGGGAGTTGGTTCTTTCCAACCATGTGGGTCCATGGGATTAAGCTCATGTTGTCAGGCTTGGTAACAAGTACCTTTTACATGCTGAACCATCTCTCTGACCTGATTTTTAAAATTGGTTTGTTTGGGGGTTTTTTGGTCTTTTTGAGACAGGGTCTCACCCAGTAGACCAGGCTGACCTTGAACTCACAGAAATCTGCCTGCCTCTGCCTCCTGAGTGCTGGGATTAAAGGCATGTACCACAACGCCCAGCTACCTTATTTATTTTTAAAAATATATCTTGACCTTTTCTATCTTTTTGAGACAGGGTCTCCCTGTAGCCCCAGCTGGCCTGGAATGTAGTCCAGGTTGGCCTCAAACTCATAGTGCTCTGCCTCCCAAGTGCTGGGATTAAAGGCGTGCACCACTATGCCCAGTGACTTTTTTCCTTTCCTTTTACTTTGGTTTTTTTATGTATCTGTGTATGTATGCACATGTGGGTGCAATGGCCTTGGAGGCCAGAGCTCTTCTTGAAGCTAGAGTTATAGGCAGGCATGAACCACCCAATGTGGATGCTGGGAATCGAATTGAGGTCCTCTTGCAACAGCAGTTATGTGCTGCTGAGCCATCTCCAGTCCTCTGCCTTATTTTTTGAGAGAGTCAACTAGACCTTGAGCTCACTAAGGTGACCAATGAGCTCTAGGGAGCCTCCTGTCTGCACCTACTCAGCGGTATGATTGCAGGCACATGCCAAAATGCCCAGTTTTTCATGTGGGTACTGGAGATCCAAACTCGTCTTCATTGCTTGCACAGCAAGTTCTTCACCAAGTGAGGTATCTCTTCAGCCTCAGTTCTGTTAATATTTGTCACCTAGTTCTTCCATACTTAGGTGTGGGACAACATTTAAATTTGTTTTTAAGTTAGACATGGTGGCTCACACCCCTAATTCCAAATTCCAAAATGTTGGAGGTTGAGGCAGGAGGATTGATGCGAGTTCAAGGCCAGCCTTACTACAGTCAGTTCACAGCCAGCCTCAGCTCTGGACTGAGTCCCTGTCCCCCCAAAATTAAAAAAATATAGCTCTTCAGTTCCAGCTAAGAATACTGAGAGATTCTGACCTGCTACACACACAGTCATTCTTCAAGCATTTCTCTAACACTGGATGTTTTCAGTGTTAGGAACTCGAGGAGAGGACGTAGATCAGCTCGTCACCTGCATCCAAAGCAAACTGCCAGTACTGACCTGTACACTACAGCTACGAGAAGAGTTCAAGCAGGAAGTAGAGGGGACGGCAGGTCTCCTATATGTTGATGACCCCAACTGGCCTGGAATAGGGGTTGTCAGGTAAAGATTTGGCTTGCCACATGATGGTGAAGGACTGCTGTACCAAAGCGCAAGTGGTCTTACTGCTTACAAATCCAAGGTGGAATTATGTGCTCATAGTATGTTTGCAAAAAGTTCATTGAAATGTTCTTTGCATTGGCAAAGGCCTCGTATAGGCAAGTAGTTTGGCCCACCATTGAACTCAGTGAGTCAGGTGTCACCTGGTGCAATCTGCTTGTGCTAACTTGCAAGTCCCCCAGGGACACATGTGGTACACAAATGGTTACTATGCAAGGCGTACAAATCAGTAAGAAAATGAGCCCAGTCCCCAGGGAGAGCTGCACTGGAGAGAGCTGTACGAGCCGCCTATCTTCTGGGCCACCTTCCTTTCCTCTCCCAAGGCACGTTTCCCTTTTTTTGTTGTAAATATGAGACCCTAGACCTTGTTTCTTGTTTCCCGGACCACAGACCAAGACTTACTTACAACATTTGAAAGATTTTTCTTTTTTTTTTAATCTTAACACATGGTCTTGGTTCCTCTGGCCACATTTGTGCTCATCTCTGAGAGTTTATTTTCCATCCACAATCCTGTGTCTGAGGAGACATTCAATCTTAGATTTAAGTTAGTGCTGTATGATGTTGTTTTTAGGTATGAACATGCTAATGATGATAAGAACAGTTTGAAATCAGATCCAGAGGGGGAAAAAATCCACAGTGGACTTCTGAAAAAGTTAAATGAACTGGAATCTGACCTTATGTTTAAAATGGGTAAGTACTGCTTTTCTAGGTCAGCTGTGAACTTTGGAAAGACTGTCTTACTGGCGAAAAGGAGGATGGGTTTCATCTCTACAGAGGGGAGAGCTCTAGTTTAGGACCAGGTGGAAGTGAAGCGTCTTTCAGGATAAGGTCTCCCCTCTGAAGTGCTCCACCTTCCTTTCTCTCCCTAGGAAGGAGGCTCCCTTTTGGTGCAGTCCTGTAGTCATTAAGGACCTGGCCTGGGCCTTACTCTGGACTGAGGACTTGGGAGCCAACCTTGCCTGTTTCTTCCCACAGGCCCAGAGTACAAAAGCATGAAGAGCTGCATTTATGTTGGCATGGCAAGTGACGATGTGGATGTTTCCGAGCTAGTAGAGACCATTGCAGTCACAGCCCGGGAAATTGAGGAAAATTCAAGGGTCTGTAAGACTAATTGATGTTCTAGGTCTTTTCTGGGTTTTGCTGGGCTACCTAGCTAGGGTCATGAAGAAGATACTACCCTTGGAAATGCCCATTTTTCATTCTTTCCCAAATATTGGTGTATGTTTCCTGCGAGGCAGGCCTTGTGCCAGGCATCAGGAATGCCAGGTGGCTTTGACAGTGCTTCTGTCCTCAAGTGACCCCAGTAGGCAATGTAGGGAAGAGACATGTACAGCCAAACAGTATAGCAGGTGATGTGGCATAGGGCAGCTGAACATCTGGGGACCTGCTCATTCCTGCTGCCTGCTCAGGCAAGACTTCCTAAAAGGACCTAGGTCCTAAAGACAAACAACATAGGTGTTTCTGATAAAGGTACCCGTACAGAAACACACCTTCTGCTCATCCAGTGGCATGGAAGACCAGCCGATAAGGCTAAAGGGCCAGTTGTGGTGGCACAAGCCTTTAATCCCAGCACTTGGGAGGTAAAGGCAGATCTTCTGAGTTTGAGGCCAGCCTAGTCCACATAATGAGTTCTGGGCCTGCTGGGGCTACAGGAAGACCCTGTTTCAGGAAGCAAAACAAACAAAAAACACCATTCAAAATGTAAAGTAGCTATTTCTCCTCTTGGCAAATGAGGCCAGACACCAAGTTATATCTGCCTGGGCCTCCATGAGCATTCCATACTCTTCTGTTTGATTTTCTGTTTAATTTTTACTCTGGCATTTCAATGCTCAATTCTATTTACTGACGTACTTTTTAAAAAATTATTTCTTGTGTATGACTGTATTGCCTGCATGTATGTAAGTGCACCTGTGTCACGCAGTGCCTGCGGAGGTCAGAAGAAGGTGTCAGATTCCCCAGGAACTGGAGTTATGTATGGGCAGTTGTTAGCCACCATGTGGGTGCTGGCACTTGAACATGGGTCCTCTGCAAGAGCAGCCAGTGTGCTTTTAAGCACAGCCATCTCTCCAGCCCTTACTGACATACTTTTAAGAAAATATTACCAGTGCAGTTTCTAAGTTAATAGTTCTAGGCCCCAGGCAAGAAACTTAGACAAACGGTACCTTTCTTGGTTTTACACAGCTTCTGGAAAACATGACGGAAGTAGTTCGGAAGGGAATCCAGGAGGCTCAGGTTCAGCTACAAAAGGCAAATGAAGAGCGACTTCTGGAAGAGGTGAGGCCATCCTGGAGCTATTCTGGCTCTCATCCATCAGGAAACAGGCTTAGCAGGTGATACTGAGCAAGGGTTATGTTTTACAGGGAGTGTTGCGGCAAATCCCTGTAGTAGGATCCGTGCTGAATTGGTTTTCTCCAGTCCAGGCTTCACAAAAGGGAAGAAGTTTTAACCTAACAGCAGGTAGGATTATTAACTAGTCTCTGCCTGGATCTGTTACCTCAGAGTTCTGACCAGATGCTCTTAGTGGAATCCCAACACCCTTCAATGCTTTTCCAGCTCCCCTGGTCCTCTCCCAGGAATCTGAGATGAGGACCCCACTCCCCTGTGGGCTCCCCCAATCCTGCTGAAACAGTGAGAAAACGGCTACCCTACAACATGCACACTCCTCTTCCTTAGATCAGTGAGGGCGTGTCTGTCTAGCTGGTCAGCATCTTGAGGCAGTGCACATGGGCACTGGCATAAGGATTATCATTCCTTGCAGTCCTCATGAGTGTTCTGCCCAGGAAAGGGCTGCTTTTGAAAGGGATACCCAAGAATCATAGCACATAGCACTAGAACATTTTACCTTAAACCAGTATTACCAACTTGCTGGAATTTAGGGAAGATATTAAAGTCTGTGACTCCTTTCCTATTCTCTCAAGAAAATATTCCCCAAACCTGAGGTCTCCACCCCCTTGTTCCATCTCCGGCCCCTTAGTTTCTTCTCCAGAAAGTGATGGCTCCATTGTCATAGCAAAAAGGTAATTGGATTTTCCTGGATTATTTCTTGATATAATCTTAGCACTCAAGAGGCTGAGGCTGGAGGATCAGGAGTTTGAGGCCAGCGTGTGCCACATGACACCGTCTCAAAACAAAAACAAAACAACAAAAACCATAAGCAGTGGATTTTTAATCTGCTAGGCCTCATCCTTTAGCAGAGACATCTGTTCTTGTTGCTGAAGTACATTGATCAGCTGCGTATGGGTTTCCAAGCACATGTGTGCCTACCTCTGACTGTTTCTAGGTACTCAGGAAGGCTTGGGGAGAGAATATTACACCCTCAACAGGGAAGGGCCATGTGAGCACCTGTAGGGTGGGTTTGCTCCAGTTCCTAGCACGTTTTCAGGGATGCCAGGCTGTCCTCCAGTCAGTGAAAAGCTGGCTGATAGAGCTTACATTAGGAAGGCCAAGTGAGGGCAAGTAGCATCTCCCAGGGTAGCTTGTGCCAGGAGCTCACGCCCACTTCTTTTCTTGGCAGGTTCACTGGAGTCCACAGAACACACATATGTCTACAAAATACAAGGTACAGGAGTGACACCACCTCCCACACCCTCAGGCACTCGAAGCAAACAGAAACTTCCAGGTGGGTTATACCTCTACACAGTTCACATTAACAGAGAACTGGTTATATTCCTCTTGGGAAATGGATCTTTCTGTGGTATTGAAAGTTCCCCATTTGCTATTCCTTGCATTCCTTTGTTTTCTTCAACCCTGAGTCCTTCTCTTCATTTGAAACTATTACGGCTATCGTTTTAAATAACCATTTATTCACTTTGAGATTAGCTGTAAAGAAAACACCTGGGCACTCCAGGGGCAGGTTGGGTCCTAGAAAGCTAGCATTATTTTAACTATAGTGTCCACTCTCTTGAGCATTTCCTTATTAGGGTCACCACAGAAGCCCTACAGGAGCAGTTTAGTGTCACAGTGTCCTTTAATTCCCTCCTAAGATGCTTCTGAGCTAGCAATCCTGCCAAAGCAGTGGTCATATGTTACCACAGAGTCTTTATCATAGCACCAGTCTCAGTACAGTTCATCTCATTCTCCCTAGGCCAGAAACCTTTTAAAAGGTCCCAGAGAGGATCAGATGCTGTGAGTGAAACCAGCTCAGCCAGCCACATTGAAGACCTGGAGAAAGTGGAACAGCTGTCAGGTGGGCTGGAGCACAGCAGCCTAGCCGCCCATTGCCCTGAGTGCCCCGCTGGGGCTCCCGCCCCTCAGGCCAGCCAGGCTGAGGCCCTACAGAACAAGGCCCAGCACCCAGGAGGAGACCACCCACAGGTAGAAGAACCAGAGAGCTTAAGATAAAGTTCAGTATTGGGTGAGACTGTACTGACTGTTGTTTCAGGGAAGAAGTTATACTGAAAATGTGAACTGTGCCACATGCTAATACGATAGAAGTTTCTGTTATTTGTGCTAAACTGGGATTTTTGCACAAATATAGGCCTGAAAGCCAGGCTTTCAAGGAGGACAGTTATTTTATGTCTATATAAAACAACCAACAACTTACTATTTCTGGCTTGCCCATAAGATTAACATTGCCTCCTGTACCATAAACATTTTTTATTGAGAAAATACTTGGATTTCAAGTGCTGCCACTTGAAACACTTGCTCTCATCTTTCCAAACATAAGCATTATGTTTAGGCTGCACACAGTGACTAGTTGTAAAGAGTTTTTGTCAGGACTCTCCAGGTTCTCCTCCGTGCTTCTGTCTTAGTAGGTCTATAGTATCAAGTTGCAGACACAGCACTGGTCGGCATCAAGGAATGGGACCATAAAACCATGTATCAGAAGCCCTCCCCAGCTGCTGTATTTCCTGGAGAGTTAAGGACTGTGTGTCCTCACACTGTGGCAGGGCTTCTGTCTAGGACTGTCCTCTGTTGCACATCTTTTCTCCCTTTATACACTCTTTGTAAACAAATTTAAGGACTCATCTGTTAAGAGTAATTATAAAATCTTGCTGACTGTATTTAAATATATTTTTAAACACTGGCAACACTTCTAAATTGACACCAGCGCACACTGAGCTTGTGTCTGTTTAGTACCAAAAGCCCTCTAGAGGCCACCATGAAGAGCTGAATGCAGTCTTCCATGCAGCATGACCTGGTAAAGGGTGAAGCAAGCATGCTTTGACCTCTCAAAGTGGCTGCAGCTTCTCTTCTCACAGCTCATCTTGAGCCCAGCTCAGGAAAGAGCCAGAAGTTGCCTCTCCCAGGCTGACAAACCAGAGTACTGCTGCTGTTACTGGAAATAGCTCCTAGTTCCTGTCCATTTCTGCATCCCCAAAGTACTACATCACTCTTCTATCCTAAGATGGGACCCCCGTAACATTTGAGTCCCTGAAAGTCAAGCAATAGGAGATCCTTTGGTGGTGGGTTTGTAATTCACACTGGGTTTGTGGACTGTAGTGTTGGAAGTCTTGGATATACTACATTAAGCCTATAATTACACTGATTTGATATGATTTTTGACATCTGCCACTTGTCAAAATGCAATTTTTTTTCCTGGTGCAAATGATTAAACAGTCTTCCCTGTTTATTTGGTGCAATGAAGTATAGCCAGTAAGATGGGAGAGGGGTAAATTATCACCTTTAACAAGATTAATTTTTAAATGTTTTTATATATTTGGAATTGTTAAATTGGTTTTGCTGCAACAGAATTTTACCCTTGAGATACTATTTGAATGTTGGTTTAAATAAAGGTTCTTGAAATTGTTATCGGTGAACTTGGTATGTAAATTTACTCTTAATCAGATAACTTCATTGTAGATAGCAACTTCAGAAATAGAAAAGATTTCTAAAACTATTTAACTTGTATAATTTGGAGATTTTAGTAGCCTTATACTTGAAAGCACACCTTTCTCAGTGACTTTGGCTAATTCTCAGACTGAATTTGGTCTTACGGGAGATTATCTTAGTAATATGTTAGGAAATAGCAAGTTCAAACTGCTTCTCTTTCTGAACCTTTCTCAGAAATAGGAAGCTTCTAAAAATGGTTTGAGAGGCTCTGAGATATTTTGCTTTTGTGATCAGCCTTGAGTACTTACCAAAAAAGCAAAATGGGACTACTTACCTAGTCTCTAAAATAGCTGCTCATCTACCAGGGAGGCAAGTGCTTTCTCCTCTGTCCCTTACTGATGAAAGGGCTGGATGTCAACTTCTTAGGAAAGCAAGTACAGCTAAACAAATACCTTTGCCAAAATAAGATTTTATTTTGAAACTCATCAGATGCCGAAAAAGGAATAGGACTTAAGACTGTACAGATGTAGATTCCAAACCCCACCAATGGTCTTTTCTCATGCCAAAAAGTTTTCTTTGGTAACTCATTTTTTAGCTTCCTGGAGAAGAGATCTTTTCCCATAAGCCATCTTCATTTTTTTTGTAGAGGAGAGCTTTATTTCCAGGGAACAGTATATTTGCTGGAGATGGATATTTTTTTAAAAACATCAAGGTAGATCTAATATGTTCAACAAAATGGGGGGGCTCAGCCAAAGGTGAAGTGGAAAGGTTCTGAAAAACAAGATTGTAAGCATGAGAGAAAGGAAACCTAGCCACATTCCCTACTTTGACAATGTCAAAGTAGCTTCAGGTTGCTTAACTGTCAATCAAGGTAGTCTCATGGATATCTCTTGTCACGTACATAGAGTTCATTGCCTACTTTTCACTTGTACAAATGTCTATCCAGGACTTACCCCCACTGCCATAAAAGTTCAACAGTCTGCAATGGCAACCAAAAGTAAGTCCTGCCCACTGAATGAGAAGCAGTGATTTGCTGGTCTAAACCCTTTTATTTTTTCATTACAGATGGGGAAACCAGGGTCTAGAGATTTAAGATTTAGCCAACCTGTAAATTCTCACCTCTAGTATTTGCTTGTCATCTTGCTGCAACCAGAAATCCACATGTGGAAATGGCGTCCAGGAATACGGGCCTATTCGAAGTTGTTCTGTCTTTGCATCATAAATGCTAATCATCTAAAAGAACCATTTCCAGGACAGGCTGTAAGGAACGCTACCCTACCACTACTGGAGTCTATTTCGAAGGCTGTCCCTTAGCTGATAAGCTGTGTACACTTTGACCTCCCATAATAACAAAGCTGCCACCACCAAATGCCTTCCCTGTGTCTGATCATGTGCATTGCTGTGTTTGGTTCTGACAGCAAGTCTACAAGCACTCTGCCATTTCTGGGGAAAAACCTGATAGAGAGGTGCCAGGTCACAATGTCCAGTGAACAGCAGTGCCTCCAAGTCAGGCAGGTTTAACCAAAGGCTGCACTTCTCAACAGCTACACAAAATATCACCTCCTTAAACCTACCCCAAGCAGCTAGTCACTTTGTACCATAAACAGCTCACAATGTCTGATGGCCCATCAAGGAAAAAGCCAGGCATGGCAGTTTACACCTGTAATCCCAGTACTCAGAAGGCTGAGGGAGGAAATCACCTTGGGTTAAAGGACTGTCTAGGCTACAGAATAAGTCCTTGTCTCACAAAAAGGTTGGGATTTGGTGGTTTCATGGAGCCCAAGATGACCTGAAATGACTTTACATAACATAGCCAAGTATCCTCTTGCCTCCCAAGTGTAGGATTACATGCATGTTACTCCACACCTGGTTTTGCAGAAAGCTGTTTTGCCAAAAAAAAACCTACACTTTGAATTCCCAAATATGTCAATGATAATTTTCAGCTTGAAGAATAGTACTCAGTTTGGTTACTGTGACTGAAATATATTCTGAGTATTATCTGAATAGTAAAAGGAATCCTTGAGTTTTAGGCCAACCTGAACTATAGTGTGACACCCCCAATCTCAAAAAAAGCTGGTCATGTTAGTTCATAAGCGCAGTACTTGTGGGGAGACTGAGGCAGGAGGACTGCCACAAGTTTGCAAGATATCCTGGGCTACATAGCAAGATGATCTAAAAAAACTGCTCAAAAAAGCCAAAATTTGGAATCCTAAAAATGGTGGCAAAACAAATCACTCACTCCAAACATTTTCTTAATGTCAGCATTCCACAAACTAGAAGACACAGGGTTGGTTTGGTGGTCTGTGCAAGTGCAGAGGCCAGAGATCAAAGCCAGGTATCTTGCTCAATTTTATATGTATGATTTTGAGATAGCATCTCACTGAACAATTCGGCTTACTGATTCAGCAAGACTAGCTAGCTAACAAGCCGCAGTAATCCTCCAGTCTCTGCCTCCCCAGCACTGGGATTACAGGCATGCACAACCATGCCCAACTTTTCATGTGGCTGGGGATCAAACTCAGGTGTTCATGCTTGGCTGGCAGGCATTTTACCAACTCAGGCATCTCCCCAACCCATTTTTGTTTTTGCCTGTATAGCTGTGGCTAACCTGGAGTTCACTCTGTAGACCAGGCTAACCTCAAACTCAATAGGAAGCTGCCTGTCTCTTGAATGCTAGTATTAAGTGTGCCACTAATACCCAGATCACTTTGACCATTTTAAATTCATCTACCTATTCTTCAAGTGAGGTGAGTGTGTCTTAACTTTAACGGCAACTTCTATAATCCCAGCTTTGGGAAGCAGAGGCAGGAGGACTGTTGAGTTTAGCAAGATCTTATCTAAAAATCAACAAAAAGGGGCTGGAGAGATGGTTTAGCAATTGAGAGTACTGGCTGTTCTTGCAGAAGACCCTGGTTCGAAATCCAACATCTACGTGGCACCTGACAATTGTCTGCCTAACTTCAGTTCCAGGGGATCTCTTCAGGTGTCTGCAGGCATTGCATGACATGGGTGCACTTACATACATCCAGGCATAACATGCATACACATTAAATTTAAAAAAGTAAAAAAGCGGGCATGGTGGCGCATGCCTTTAATCCCAACACTTGGGAGGCAGGCAAATCTTTGTGAGTTTGAGGCCAGCCTGGTCTACATAGTGAGTTCCAGGACAGCTGGGGCTACAAGAACATCCTGTCTCAAAACAGACAATAAATAAATAACCAACCCTGGGCTGGGGACATATCTCTTGCCTAGCATATGTCAGGCCCTGGGTTCCATCAGCACTACCAAAAAAAAGTACAAGTGCCCTAAGGAAATTAAACTTATTTGATAATTCTTTCGGAGTAATTAAATCATTTCAGCAAAGGACTCTTCAGTGGCTAGAAAAAAGGATGGATGATGCAGGATCCTGCCTCCCTCTCCCTGCACATCTCTCTTCAGAAAGGTTGGCTGAAGAAGTCCCTCTGTCTGGATCCAGGCTCTTTACATCTTTTTTTTTTTTAACTTTTTAAAAAAATAATTATTTTATGTGTATGCATGTATTGCCTGTGTGTAGGTAAGTGCACCCGTGTTGTGCAATGTCCATGGAAGACAAGAGGCTGTCAGATCCCCTGGACTGGAGTTACGGGCAGTTGTTAGCTGCCGTGTGGGTGCTGGGATTTGAACCCAGGTCTTTTGCAAGAACAACCAGTGTTCTTAGCTGCTGAGCCATCTCTCCAGCCCTCGTTTATTATTTTTATGTGCATGAGTATACTGCCTGCATATGTGTAAGGGCACCTGTGTCATACAATGCCCAGAGTCAGAAGAGGGCATTGGGTTCCCCTGGAACTGGAGTTACAAATGGTTGTTAGCCACCATGTGGGTGCTGGAAATTGAACCCAGTCCTCTACAGGAACAGCCGCTGCTCTTAACCACTGACCCATCTCTCTAGCCCAGCAGAGAACTAGTATCTGGCTTATAACCTAAACTCCCTCTTTAATCCTCTAAGGGAAAGTGAGGAAATAGGCCAGGTCTTGGCAATTCAGTTTTCAGGAGGTAGTCACAACTTTCCTAAGGTTTATAAGCTAGAGATTCTCGGGGTCGTTGTCCCCACCCCCCACCCCCAAAGCACAGACTCCCACTCACTGGGCCTCCTGCTAAAGCTCGTGCAGCACGCAGCTCCTCCTCTGGGCCTCTATCTTGAAAGGAAGCTCTGTAGATCTCTGCAGTTTTAATGTTGACAGCTGCAAAGGACAAGAGTGACCTTGAATCCAAGTAAAGTTTCTATTTCTACCATTACACGTTAAAAACAGAGGTGAAAAGAACAGAAAACTAAAGGTGATTGAGGCATTGACAGCCTTTGCACCAGCATGGAAGGAAAAGCTGCCCAGAAGCACACTACCCTCAGAGGCAAAGCCTCACTGTGACTAAGACACTGGTGTCTGCCTGCCAGCAGAGTGGCCTATAATAACTGGCAAAGGTTGGAAGTTTCACTTGTTTGAACTTTTAGCTTATTTTAGGGATATGCAAAGTTATAGAGAATGAAGTAAGAAGCCTGTGCCCTCACCACCAGTTAAACAAACACTAGAAACCCTGTGCAAATACAGCTGTATGCACTAGCCTCAGGACCCAGAGTCTGTCACTGGACAGAGGGAGGGCCCTGGGCAGACAGTTCTGCACTTTTGTGGAATCTCTGTTTTGAATCAAAACCTTAGTTCATTCCCATAGTGTACAGAGATCCAGATGCCCTCCTCCCTCCCCCTGAGCAATGGCTGGAGAAAAGCATTCCAGACAGGCTACCCACCTATGTGATGCTAAGCCATTAGGGTGGGTGCAGGGTATGAGTGGGCACAGTCTGTGCTGTACATTGGCTCCCTGTTTCTATATGTTGTAGTTAGGGCATCAATGCAGCATCACAGGTTAAGGTTGCCACTTGCCCAGTTAATACACAAGAGCAAGGATCAGAACCACCAGCAGCAATGCAGATGGAAAGCTTGCCTAATCAGACCTTTAGCCCGATACTAAGCCTGCTATGCCCACCTGGAACCATGCCTGCAATCCTCTAACAAAAACACTACTTACCAATGCCATAAATAATTGGAAAGTGGTTTTCATTTTCTTCCCGGTCATTTAATTCTAAAAATTGAAGAAGTACAAAACAGTTATTTCATGTAAAAAAAGGCAAAGGGGCCTCCATGTGAAGAAAATCAGACAGAGTCCCAGGCAGGCAGGTTTTATTAAACAAAGGCAGTCCCCTGCCTCTGCCACTAAAGGGCAACTCTGACCAGTATCCTCCCCTTCCCAGGATCACAGTGAAGCCTATGACAAGTCCAAACAAGACATGAGATGCCCTGGTGCAGGGGTGGGGTGACCATCCCATTTATCTGGGTAGGACCTGGTGGCTAGAAGGCCACTCTAGTGATAGGAGTATTGTGAACAAGTCAGCCAAGAGGCAGCAGTCTTCAGAGTATCTTTTACAACTCCTGTCCTGGTGCTAGGTGTTGTGGAAGAGTACAGACAAAACCTTCCTGAACGCTGCCTCCCTGTTTAGGAAAAACAGAACTCACCTGTCACACATAATGTCACTAAGTGAATGTCATCATCTTGTTTGTCAAACTCACCTACAATTAGAATTTCGAAACTGATGTCAAAAAAAGTACTCAATTCAAGAGCAAGTAATAGCGGTGAATATGATGCATTACACACACACACACACACACACACACACACACACACGCATGCACGCATACCCCTCATCTCTCCTTAGTCCAGCACTGAATGGATTTCAGGAAGGAAGACATGTCAGATGTATTACTGAATCTGGTTTTCTTTTGTGTTGTAAATCATGCCAGAATAAATGACAGCTCTTCAATGAAGCAGATGCAAACTTTAATGATAACTTGAAGAATGGAAGAGAATACTCTCAAGCTGTACATATGATAATGCATTACACACACGGTGAATATGATAATGCATTACACACACACACACACACGGTGAATATGATGCATTACACACACACACACAGTGAATATGATAATGCATTACACACACACACACACACACGGTGAATATGATAATGCATTACACACACACACACACACACACACATGAATTGTCACAGGGCTGGAGATGTAGCTCAATTGGTACTATAACTGCCTAACATGCACACAAGCCCTGGGTTCAATTCCTGGAATTTGCATAAACCAGGCATGGTGGCACATGCAAGTTCAAGGCTTGTCTCTGCTACTTGATACCATGTCTTGGGGGGGGGGGACGCTTCCCTAGCACCCCCCCACCCCTTGAGACAAGATAGCTTAGCCCATATTAAGGTGCCTGACACCAAGCCTGACAGCCTGAGTTCAATTTCAAAGACCAACATGGTGGAGGCAGAGAACCAATTCCCAGAAGTTGTCCTCTGACCTCACACTGTGGTGCACATGTGCCCATACACAGAAAGAAATGTTTTTTAAAAGTCCTAATGAGCCGGGCATGGTGGCACACACCTTTAATCCCAGCACTTGGAGGCAGAGGCAGGCAGATCTCTGTGAGTTCAAGGCCAGCCTCATCTCTATAGTGAATCCAGGACAGCTGGGCCTACAGGGAGACCCTGTCTCAAAAAGACCAAAAAAAGTCCTAAGAAAACCAACTATTGTGTATAATTGCTATGTGTTAGCATAAAAAGTCTCCAGTTAGGCTGGGCATGGTGGCGCACACCTTTAATCCCAGCACTTGGGAGGTAGATACGGCAGGCGGATCTCTGTAAGTTCAAGGCCAGCCTGGTCAACATAGTGAGTTCCAGGACAGCTGGGGCTACAGGGAGACCCTGTCTCAAAAAGACCAAAAAAAAAAAAAAAAAAGTCTCCAGTTAGATTACATTTCTGAGCAAGTCAAAAAGAGGTTAGAGGGACAGAAGCCAACTAAGCAGTATCTGCTCTGCTACTCTGCCTCAGCTTACACCACAGAACCCTGACTGCCTTTCCATCCATCTTCCTTCTCAGAGGCTGGGGAGGCACTTCGGGTCCTGAGAGGGGACTTAGCTCTTCTCCTGGTCCTCTTTCTTCTGATTATCAGACTGGGCAATCCAAACAATACAGGAAAGCAGAAGGAAGCATATTCTAAATTTTAGCCCCTAAGTCTGGTGCTGTTAATATGGAAGTTTAGACTTTTTCTGTGCATAGCTGATAACATAGCTCATAACACAGAGGCAATATTGCATTGCATCCAATCATACATATAGTTTTATACCCGGGCTAGGTTTTTTAAGACATGTATTTTCATGAGTAATTCAAACCTATTTTTATCGTGGGTTTTTTTGTTTGGTTGTTATTTTGTTTGCTTTGTTCCTCTGAAGCAAGTTCTCAACGTTTGGCTCAGGCGGGTTAAGAATGAACAGTCCTTTGCTTCAGCCTTCTTCAGCTGGGACTGCAAGTATGGCCCACCATGCCTGGTGAAGTGTTATCTTTTAGTGGTTTTGTAACTGTTCTTATGGAGGAACGCCTTTAATCCCAGCACTCAGGAGGCAGAGGCAGGTGGATCTGAGATCCAGGGCACCCTAGTCTACATAGCGAGTTCCAGGCCAGCCAGAGCTACAGGGAGACCTGATCTTCAAGAACAAAACAAAACAAAAAAATTACTGTTCTACTGCTCATCTTTGGGCCTAAATCTGTGTATTTTTTTTAAACGTTTACTTTACGTGTGTACGTGTGATGCATATGTGCAGGTCGAGATGGGGAATTACTGAATCAAAGGACATGAACCTTTAAGACTTAAGCCATGATGTCAATCTCTTTGCTGACAGGATGCTCCAATGTACATTCTGGCATTATCGTATGGCTATTTTACTTGCTGGTGGTTAAATAATAACACAACATTGTCTACTTTTTTTAAAAAAAAGAAGACATGGCATCATTCATTGTTTTCTGCAGATTACAGTGAACACCCTGCCAGAAGAGTAGCTGTTTTGTTCAATTCAGAATATTTACTCTTCTAGAATGGGTCCACTGCCCTTTTAAAAGAAAATCTTTGATGTGGAGTGGTGGCACATGCCTGTAATCCCAGCACTTAGGAGGCTGAAGCAGGAAGATCACAAGTTCAAAGCCAGCCTAGACCTGTCTGAAAAAGGGAGGGAAGGCTTGTCCTATTAGCCCCTAGGGATTTAGCTCCATGTAATTCTGTCTCTGTACATTTCCAGCCCAAGGAGCCTGTTTCATCTAAACTTCAGACTTTTTTGTGTTGTTTTGAGACAGGGTCTGAATCTGTAGCCAAAACTGGTCTCAAACTCAGGATCCTCCTGTGCTGCCTCATCTGGCTGGCAGAGACTTTATTTTTTACTTTATTTATTTATGAAAATGAGGCAGGGTCTCCCTGTAGTCCTAGCTGACCTGGATCTCACAGTGATCCACCTGCCTCTGCCTCCCAAATGCTGGGATTAAAGGTGTGTGCCACCACACCCATCTACTTTGTTTTTTTTTTATTTTTATTTTATGTATATGAGTGTATTGCCTGCATGTATGTGAGAGCACCCATGTTGTGCAATGTCACGGAGGTCAGATGAGGGCTTCGGATTCCCCTGGACCTGGAGTTAAGGATGGTTTATAGCCACCATGTGGGTGCTGGGAATCGAACCCGGGTCTTCCAAGACAGTCAGTGCTCTTAACCACCGAGCCATCTCTCCAGCCCCTAGACTTTTTATTTTTAACCCAAACTGAACTAGGTACAAAATTATGGGGAGGGGTACAATGAACTTACTAAGAAGTTGATGAGTAAGTTTCTGTGACAGCTGTCTGTCATCACTGAAGCCTCCCACAAGGTGCACCTCCAGCCTGCCAAGAGAGGGACCATGACCAGAGACAGGACAAGACATGATGGCACGCTGCTTTCATTGGTTTTTAGTTCTTAGTTTCCACAAGCTTCTGTAGCATGGCTTCTGGACCTTTTCCACAGCACATGAAGATACCTTTGGGGCACACTGGGGGGCAGGTGAGGCGGCTGAGGCCAGGACCAGGGTTCTGGGGACCTCATCCAGAGGGGCCCTCAATGCACAGATGAGAGGCTCTATCTATATCATGCAGTTACCCACAAAAGTGGGATACTTCCAGAATTGTTCAGTGCCTCCACCAAAAAGGAACTGTGAGACTAGGAGGGTGAAGCACCTGCCATCAAGAGCCTGGGTGAGCAGAAGCTGCACAGGCACTTGCCTCCCATCCCCACCTTTCCTTGGCAAGAACAGTTCTCATCTGTGTTTCTAAAGTACTCAAAGCAAGACACTCAATTTTTTTGGTGGGTGCCACAAAGCATGAAGTGTCAATTTGGGAACCCTTCCTTACCTGCTGAGGTAACTGCCTAGGGCACTTTCAATGCACAAACAGTAGGGCTCTGACAAGTTCAAAACCCCAAACTTTGCTTTGAATGTATTTCCCACATTCAACTCTCCGACAGCCCCAACAACCTGGAGCACAGGCACCCAAAGGGGAGGGCACATTGCACACTGCTTTCTCCTGAAGCTTTCTTAACAGAAACCATCCAGAGCCTGTACAGGGCACAGTCAGTTGAGGCCTCACCTCCTCAGAAATGATGAGCAGGGGTGGCCTTGATGTCTGAAATAACTAAATCATTTCATCTGCAAGCGGACCAGTAATGGCCAATAATCACGTTTCAAGACTCATGGAGCCAAGTGTGGTGATGCACACCTTTAATCCCAGCATTTGGGAGGCAGAGGCAGGTGGAGCTCTGTAAGATCCAGGCTAACCTGGTCTATATAGCAAGTTCCAGGCCAGCTGGGGCTACAGGGGGACCCTGTCTCAAAAAAATAAATAAACCATGGAATCAGGCTGCAGTTAGGTTCAGCACAGGCCAGCACTAAAGGAAAACACTTTTTTGCAGCCATATGGGTCACATGCCTGTGAAGGCAGACCCAGCCATAAAGATTTTTTTAAAAAAACAAGGCTTAGTGGCAGAGCACATGCTTTAGCAGGTTTGAAGGCCAGGGTTCAATTCTTGGCACCAAAAGAATTTAACTGATCTACTGCACTAGTGAAACCAACCAAGGCTGTCCCCAGGATTCTAGGCGACCAGACTAGTCCCCTACCAAGAAAATAAGAGGCAAGTATAATAACGACAGAATAAGGGGGCCAGGTATGCTCAGTGACAGCCAGGCCTGGGTCACAGGCCAGCACTTCACAAGACCAAGTGCCATGTCACAGGGTGAAGATGAAACGCTGGGGCCATATCCACGTTCTAACTGGGGCTGCTGAGGAGTCAGGCCATGGCCACTCCCAGCTGTCAAGCTGCTCCTGGCCTTGATCCTCGCCATCCTTCCCAATATTTGTTTACTGACCTCTCACTGCTTCACAGTGAGTGCTTTACCCACTCCACACAGGATGTCCTCTGCCCCTAGAGCAAGTAACTGCCCATAAAAACACTCAGCAAGTATCTGCTGAAGGGACAACTGCGATTCCCCATCTGGGCCACAACAAATTAATACCTGAGATGTAAATGTTTAAGTTTACACGACTCAGACCGTCCTTTTAAAATCTAACACTGAAGCTGGGCATGTCTCATCCCTGTAATCCCAACAGTTGGGAGGCTGAGGGAAGATAATCATGAGTTTGAGGCTACAGTACATAGTAAGTCCATGTTTTAAAAAAAAAAATTCCAGCACTGGCCTGTCCTCATTATTCACCCAGCAAGTGCTGACTGACACCACCCCTCAAGGGGAACAAGCATGGGTTAGCACACACCCCCCGACCCCAGTCTCCTAAGTACCATACAACCCCAGAGTTGATTTAACAGAGTAACACAGCACTCACCTTCCACACTGAGCATAGTCAGAAAAGGATTTTATGGAATTCATGATCAAGGGGACCTCAGCCTTGGTGTCAGTTCCATCACAGTGTGTCAAACAGGTTGCCCCATTGCCTGGGAGAACAAGAGAAAATGACCAAGTTATTCCCAATGCAAACCCAGGAAGTGAGCCAAGGCAACTCCTGTCCACGTGGACCACGTCCTCGGAAGCCCTGTGAGGAAACAGAAAAGGTCTATGCTGTGCTGCCCCCGCCAACCCATTCTGACCAGGGCACCAGGGAGACACCATGCAGACGAGGAGGACAGCACGTTCAGGCTTTAAATTTGACACCAGGAAACAAACTCAGAAGGTCAGTAGTACCACATGGCTGGGTTGGTGTAAGGAATGGTTTCTTTCACCTCTCTCATACCTGTGTGCCTCAGGACCACAATGTGACAAGTGGTAGCATCATCAGAACCCAGAATGGAGATGGAGCCTGTTTAAAAAAGAAATAACATAAAATATCCAGTAGCCTTGGGGATAAGGCCCAATTTACTGCTTCCTAACCTACCATCCTTTGGGGAAGTCACTGCAAGTTCTCTTTGCTGAACATACAGAAGGCCCTGGGGTCCCACTTGTTGAACAGACTGACCTCTGAGAAGTCTGGCTCTTTCCTGTTTAATTGAAACAGAATAAAATAATGATGTGAATTAGTGAGACCAGAAGAACCAGAGAGGTGGAAAGAGCCAATGTGCACTTGAAGTGGGAAGCAGGCTGCTGTGTCTGAGTCATGTCGGCATTGGCTACATAGGCTACAGAAGGCAGCAGGGACAGCACAGCCACTGTTGGCAAGGAACAGAAGACCCCCGTACCCAAGAAACAAGATGTACCAGTCCTTTATCACCGTTCTTCAAGAGTCTGAGACTCAGTCTTTTTTTTTCCAGGACAGGGTAGTTCAGGATATCCTTGAACTCTTCATCCTCCTGCCTCAGCTCTGAGTGCTGGGGTTACAGGTGTGCACCACCATCCCTGGCTAGAGACTTAACTTTTAAGAATAGAGCATCAGTGCTGGCTCGTGCTTATGGGCTACAGAATGAGACCACCTCAAAAAAATAAAACAAAAGGCAAAAGAAACTGGCCAGGCATGGGGGTGAACACCTATAATCACAGCACTCAGGAGGCCAAGGCAGGAGAATTTCAAGCCAAGGCCAGTCTGGTCTACATAGGGAGACTCCCATCTGGTGGGGAGCTGACAATACTAAATGTATTCTACCCTCCTCACCTGCAACAGTTTCCCCAGTGAACAAACTGACTCGTGTCTGTCACTTTAGAGGGCACACTACTGCCTGCTCCTAATTTGGGTTTGTGTCTAATTACTTAAAAAAATCCAAAAGACATAACAAACTTAATGAGCAACCCAACTATTAAGCATGGTTTTCTTTTAATGAATTTCCATTGATTGGCTGCCAGGCAGTCACTAAAACAAGACAAGCTCTTCAACTTAAGACATGAACTAGGAAGTCCTGGGTTCAGGTTCAATTACGAACAAGCAGTGGGGGCGCATAATAGAAGGACAAGAAATGAAGTGGAGTGCAGTCTAAACAGACTGGCAGGACTTGGTCGGCTGCAGAGGTCAGAGGAAACATGGCAGCCGTTTTCCAACAAAGAACATTTCTTATCCTCACATCTCATCTTGGCCCACAGCGGCGACCAGAGGCTGCAGAATTCCCTTTGGAATTCTCTACTTACCTTTCACTTGGGGGAGGAATTAAGGCAGATTTTTGCCACTCGTGTTCACATTTGGTTATGAGAAACCACATGTTCTGGTTTGTTTCTTCATCGCTGTGACAAAACACTCTGACCAATACCAACTTGGGGAGGAAAGGGTTTATTCAGCTTACATCTCCCAGGTCACAGTTCATCAGGGAGCCCAAGGTAGGAACTCAGGGAAGGAACCTGGAGGCAGGATTTAGAGCACAGGCCATGAGGGAAAGCTGCTTACTGGCTTGTTCCTTGCCTTCTCTCTCACTGGTGAGTTTATCTCGCTGCTGTGACCAACTCATTGGAAAGACTAGCAGATCTCCTGGAATCCATCAGAGCCAGATTGGGATTACTGAGACATCTGGCTTTCTCAGCCTCCCCAGTGTGGTGCAGCCATTGTTGGACTACTCAGACTCTATCCTGTAAACTAATCTAATAAATCCATATATACATATTCATTCTGCTGGTTCTGTTTCATTAGAGAACCCTGACTAATACACTCAGTATTTTATTATTTTTTTTGTGTATGAATGTATTGCCTGCATGCATCTAAGTGCACCCTTGTGAAGGTCAGATGAGGGCATCAAATCCCTGGAATTGGAAAAAGTCTCAACTGTGAGTGGGCTTCTGTAAAATCCAAAACAAGTACTGTCTTATTTCAAAGGGAAGAATCGGGCACACCTAAGCAAAACCAAAGTCCAGCAAAGTAGCTCGAGGCTGGACATCTGGGATTCATTCACAATCTTCTGGGTTCCAAAGGGTACTGGCAGCTCCACTGCTCTGACTCCACAGTCCACAGCACA